ACAGCAATTAACAGTTGAAAATACACAGATACACCTTCATACAATTTGGGGAAAAGTCACTCCCACAGTTAGGTAATGTAGGCTTTTTTTTTTTTTTCTATTTTGTTTGGTTTTTATATCTTCCACCCTTCCAACCCTTATTCATTCCAACCCCCCAACACTAGGTAGGCAAGGAAGAAGGTTAGAGGGGAAAAAGGCATACGCATCTTTAGACTACTTCCTGCTGATTAGGGCTGTTGGTCTCTTTGGGGCAAGTCCAGTCTTAGTCATCAGGATAACTCCAACTTCTTCTAATCTAGGTGCAACAACAACAACCAGGCGCAGCAGAGGGAAGCATCTGCCTTCCTTTTCTTCAGAGCACCCCCAACCCTCCTTGAGCTTTCCCATTTATACCCTCTCCACAGTCCCAGAATTCCAAATGTAAACTATCTGCAGCCGGCAAAAATCATGCCCCTGCTAGTGCATGAGGCAAATCATAATCACCTGCTGTGAAGCAGCCTGTTATCCCACAGCTGGGATTAAAATAAAAACATATTCATATAACATAACTGGATTTTTAAAGAAGCCAAAATTCTCATACAAGGTAAGCACTGAGCTGCCCCAATGTAATTATAACAAAGTGACAAGGTTCTGAGTATCTTTACTCTATGGGTGATATGTAAAACAAAGACAGGGCACTGTGCTTCAGGGCACTCAGCACATTTGGGTTCCCATGCCTTCACATGTCCATAGCTTCTGACTGGATGTTGGGCATCATAGACTTCATGTTGTTGGAATAAGTGTTGGTGCTCTCTATCTGCGGGTGTCTTGGCAGGTTTATGCCACTTGTATATGTTAATATTTAGACAGCCTGCTTCTGGGTTGCCTAGCAACCTATGCCGTCATCATGTGTCACCTGCCAGGTAGCCGCGCTCTGTAAAAGGATCAACCTGCCACTTTGTCTCTCTCTTGCCCTCTTACTCTCTTGCCCTACTGCTCTCTCCCCTTTCTCTATTGGGGTGCCCTTTCCCTTCCCCCTTCATGTCTCGCTCTCTCCTGTCTTCATCTCCATCCAATAACCCTCTCTCATAAAATCTGTGCGCATTATCATTTCATTGGTCCTAACAGTATATCTCCTTGTCTTTTGAGGTCTATCATTATGCTGGAGGTGAGGAAGTTAGAGTAACCTGTTTTTTAGGGCTACAGTGTGTGGCCCTTGTGAGTCCTTTACTGGATGTATCAGGTGTCCAGTGAGTTTATTCTGGCCTGTATAAACTCTGGAACCATCCTGCTGGCTTCTTCCAGTGGTTATTCTGTGCAAGTCTTCTCCTGCTCTTGCTGTGTGCCTCCAGACACAGGCACTTCATTTTTAAAGGAATCACCTCATTTTTCTTTTCTCTTGGCAACTACAGCAATAGGCGACTCACTACCAAGTGTCTGAAAACTCATATACTTTGGTCTATTTTATAGTTGTCCACTCCACTGTGGTCCAAAGTGGATGTAATCTGACTACAGGTTTCAAACCTTGCTTTTACTCAAACCCAGCATTTCTAGCACTGAGGATGAGTTCCTATTTACAGTGAAAGAGGACCTGACATTCCACACGGGTACCCAGGCTGGAAGTAACATTCTGGAAGTCTTTCTCATGTCAAGATACCTGGTATCCCTCTACCATGCACTCATAAGTGAGTGGTGAGCCATGGAAAGGTTGGCATAGGAACCCACCATCTCACCCGCTCACTCCCAGTTAAAATTTGGCTGTGGCCACACTAAGGCCACCAGGCATGGGAAGGAGAAATAGAGGAACCTGTAGCAAACACAGCAGCAGTCTTGGTTGATTGCAGTAAAGATATTTTGGTGTGGACAATTTGTGTTTTGTGTAAAATACAACCATATGAACAAGTTGTGGGCCTGGCATCTCAGGGGGTCTTAGGTGTGACAACTTGCTATTAAGGTCAAATCTGGCACTTGATAGCATCCGAGCTCAGTATAAGATGATGGACTCCCTTTCTCAGATGGGTTTCCTCTCTGCCTGATCTTCTAAGGAGCATCACACAGCCCTACGGGATATTACAAGCCCAACCCATTCCTGATAATAAACCAGTTCAGTAAGCACCTGGGGATTCCTGAAAACACCACCCTGTGCTTAGGAAATGTCTTGGTGTCTTGGCTTTCAACCAATGACCTTTAGTGATACCTGGAGTTCTTCCCCATCCACGGGATAATTAAGTGCTGTGCTCCCCGCCTTATGATAGGGCTGTGCTAGTGCATGTGAATCCCTGGCACTCCCAGCCCCAGTGAAGCAAACACATTCACTCTCAAGCCCCCCATTGCCCAAGGTTTATAAGTCCCTGTCTCACACAAAATAAGTGGGACCTGCATCATCTTTTCACCATGACCATCTAAGACTCATCATTTGTTTTGGGGAAGGACCAGCTCCCCTTCTCCCTGAAGAATGCATCGCTGGACAACCCCCTCTGGGTGGGGCTGAGGGCTTGGCTTCTCAGTCAGTCTTCACCATGTCTGTCTTCGGGAGCAAGCAGCTGGCTGTTCCCAAAGCAGCCATTTTGTCTGCTCAGACACAACCTGGCTCCTGCCTCTGACTCTCTAGCATCAACTTGAGTGACATCTCGATTATTTTCCCTCCAAGACCTCCGCAACTCCTAGACTGTCCTCAGGTTATAGCTCTGATTTCAGACTCTTCAAACTCTCTTGCAACAGTGCTGCTGGACTAATTTTTAAAGATAAAACTTAGAGGCCTGCTATGTAAAGCATCAAACTCAGACCCATCTATTCTCTTGTTTATACATCTGCCCATGTCTCCCTACTTGCTCACACTGGGTTGTTTCCTAGGCCCTTCCTCATCTTTTAAAGTTCTAGCTCAGGCCACCTCCTCAGCAAGGCTGTAGATGGCAGCTGTTCTATGACCCCTCTCTGCTGCTCTCTGCCCTGCAGCCTTTTTATCTCTTCCACACATGGGATGCAATGCCTGTTGCATTCCATAGGCTCTCTGTCACACCTGCCAAAAGATAAGGTCTGGAAGAGTGAGAAGCAGCGGGCCTTAGCATTGGCATGGTAACTGACATATGGCAGGCATCCAGCAAACCTTGGCCAATAACCAAATGGTTATTCTAATATGCTTTGGGTATATATCACCCCACATCCCTTTCAGAAAGTAAAAAACAAGGAGAGGTGATGTCTGTACCAGGGATGAGTGCTGAAACTGTACTCACTCTATGTGTGGCCATGTGATTCAGGCATTGACTAGACTTCCTGCTGACTCATTTTATTCTGCTGTAAAATGGAGGCAGCACCATCACTCACTTCTTAAATACTGTGAAGATTACATGAGTAGCTTGTAACATTTAAAAATCACATTTAAAAATCACCACCAGTGTGCAGTGTGCAGACTACCCAAGAGTCTGTATTGGGATTATATTTCTATCTATAGCATGTGAGGAGACGCTGGCTTCTTACGTTCTCAACAACACTAGGCACTATTACTATTGCAGCACTTCAAATAGACAGTATTTTAATTTGTACTGAGACTCCTGGGCAGACAGAGGCCTGCTGGATGTAGGCTGACACCATGGTCTGAATGAACAGTGAGCTTTGGGGTCTGAGTGTGCTGTGGGTTTGTGGAGGCTCCACTTGACCAACAGGTGGTGACTGGGCACCAGTGCTGCCTGATGACATCTGCAGGCAGGCCAAAGTCAAGCCTGTGGTAGCTGCCCAGAACTTAAGAGCACAAGTGCAGGCTCCAGGCTATCCTCTCTTCCGCCCTTGGGAGCATTTGGGACTACAGGTGTGTGCTGTACCCTAGGGCACGTGCTAGAGTGCAAACTTAGGAATGGGAAGTTCTGCCAGCTCAATCCCATTTTCATTTTATCCAGTTAGTACTGATTTGTGGATGCTGTCTCTGCACCAGTTATTAACCCTGTTACTTTTTGTTAATATGTGATCCTCCACTTATTTCCTTCCTTCTGTGATTTCCTCTGTTGCTGCTCTTTCCTAAGGTATGTGTTGAATACAACTCATCCACAGTTATAAATCTCTTTCTTTTAAAAATACTCTTGGGGTGGAGAGATTGCTCAGTGGTTAAGGGTTCTGGATGTCCTGGCAGAGAACCTGCATTTGGTTCCCAGCATCCACATTGTGCCTTACAACCAGGAGATCCAATTCTCTCTTCTGGCTTCCACAACACCAACCACACATGCCTGTGCTTACCATACGTGTAAGTAAAACACTTATGCACATAAAAATTAAAAATAAATAAATAAATAAATACTAAAAATACTCTTCATCCTCTTATTTCCAATTAAAACATATATGTGACCAAGTCTCTCACATTTTTGGTGAGACCTATTTTATTGGGTTAGCTTTTTTTTTTTTTTTTAATCTAAAGTTCACAGGATTGTTATGCATTTCCAAACAAATATGTGGACAGGAGCCATACTCACAGAATGTGTATAAAGCTACATCCATATTGTGCTGTGTTCACAGATATGTTTTACTTGTGGAGATACTGTATATATGGGATACATGCCTTTTGCAGGAATATATGGTCTTCACTTTCAGGTATAAAGTTTTGTTTTGCTTTGTTCTGTTTTGTTTGTATTTTGGTTTCTCTGTGTATCCCTGGTTGTCTTGGAACTCACTCTGTAGACCAGGCTGGCCTCAAACTCATAGAGATCTGCTGCCTCTGCCTCCCAAGTTCTGGGATTAAAGGTGTGCCCTAACACTTTTTACCCATACGTGTAGTTATCATGTTAATTTAAGCTTGTATTTGTTGCTACAGGTAGAACCTATCTCTAGCCCCTCCCTTTCCACATGGAGTCTCTTAGCCCTATTGATCCAGTAGGACTGATGGCTCTCCAAGCCACCTCCACCCAACTTCACTAACCCATACACAGACCATACAGACACTCACCTATCTGTCCATCCACCCAGGAACAAAGCGAGGAGCTGTGGACACCACCACCATCTGGTGTAGGAGGAGAGGCCTAGCTGCAGCGACTCACCTGCACGGTGACACTGGGCAATAACTGTCTGGGCAAAATCCTTGATTTTCTTGTACTTCTGCAAAAATCTCTCCAAAAAGTGGGTGGCTTCCAGAACACTGACTCCAAGACAAGCAGCAAGCCGCTGTTTCCCTGTGAATTAGGAAGACATACCATCAGAGTCCAGGCCTAACCCATATCGTGTGAGAACATCGTATGTGGAAATGAGCTTAATTGGAGGTCTGAGGTACAAAGCGACTCAGTGGCGGTGTGGGCCTTATGTGGTTGGTTTGGATATTATTGACTTTGGGCTTTACACAGTGTATATGGGGTAGCCATTGATCTGGAGAGAGCCATTTAAACACTCACTTCCTCAGTGGTCTTTGCTGTCTGCCAGGAGCTGCACGGGAAGCTAGGGATAGGCAGACTCAGTGTTGCTCTCAGCTCAGTCAATAGAACTGACTGTAGGACTTGAGGAAGCTGTGAGGCCCACAGGAATGAGGAAAGCAGAGCTGATGATAAATGTGGAAACATGGTATTCAGGAGCCCCTATCTTAGCATTCTTATTTTGGAATACATGCTTTTGACCTAGCTCAGTATTTTGTTCCTGAAAGAGGCAAAGTTCTTGTGAAGTAGCTGCAGTGAAGTAGTGAAGGTCTCTGGTGGAGGTGACACCAAATTCTAGCACAGCACATAAGCCTCCTGTTTGCTGATTCCAGTTCTTAGATATACAGGCCTGAATGGGACTTCAGTTCTGTCACTTACAGGAGGTTTCTAGTGGTCTTGGGGAAGTTGCTTAACTCTCAATAAATCTGTTTCTTCATTCATAATTTGAGAACAATGGTTTTGGCCGTTGTTCTTAGCCCTGGGATTGATCAGGAATCCTATGAAACAAACTCTGAGCCAAGTATGGCTTCTACTTGATGCTCAGTGTATAACCATTCTCTTGTAATTTTCTCCAGGAATGGGTACTAGGACCCTTGCCCAACAGCTGTATTATGGAAAAAGTCTTGGAGTCTGTGGGTAACACTGTTTGAGGGATTCCAAGAGATAATTTCTGGGAGAGTCATTACTAGGGCAAGAGGAAGGCTCACTGAACTTTGAGCTGGCCAGCTCTGGCTCACAAAGGCCACTCAAGAGGTCTTCAGATACTTGGCCTAGAAACTATGGTTCAGGCCTTGAGCTCTGTGTCTGTGATGACAGAAAGGGTTCCTTAGAGGATTCCTATCTGACCTCTCAGAATTGTTTTTTGATCCCCTTTTAGTGAGGTCACTCCTGACCTTAGTCAGCTTAAACCTTCAAGAGTTCTAATAGTAGCAATGTTGAACACTCATGGCAGTGAAAAAGCAGATAGCTTCAAGTGCTCTGCTTGAAAGAGTGTAGAGCCAGGTTTTTCCTTACTAGAGAGGGACAAATGCTCAGAGTCCTTGGTTTTCTTCCATGTACAGGCCTTCCTGACATGAATTTTGCTGAAAAAAAAAATCTTAAATTCCCCTTAGGGCTTAATGAAGATAGTGTGGTACCTCCACAATAAAGTTGCTATTTGTTTTGCTGCATTTTACTGAAAAAAAAAATTATCAAAAATCCTTTCTTCCATCAAATCCTAATCATCACTTTGAGCTACTGCACTGGCATAGACAAATCCATTGGCTTTAAGAAAGGAATCAACAGACTCTGAACCAGGTCAGTCATAGGGACATGGAATCCTCTTCTGTTCTAACTTCCAATGTGCTGTTAAACTAATTTGGGAAACTTTAAATTTCAGATATTGCTCATTTCGGGGCCAGGATTACCACTTGGCTCTTTTTATTTGGCAGATTTTATTTTTTTCCCATTTATTGTAAGCATGTCAAGACAGGGTTTCTCTGTGTCATCTTCACTATCCTGGACTTGCTTTATAGACCAGGCTGGCCTCGAACTCATGGAGATCCACCTGCCTCTGCCTCCCTGAGTGCTGGGATTACAGGCTTCCACCATCATACCCAGCTGGGCATGTTTTTCTTTACAGTCTCAAGCACCTTTGAAGTCCTTGCCTACAATTTTAAGATCTGGGTCACCTCTAGCCTATGACTGTGGTCAAGGTATCCCCATTTCTTTACATGTTTAGGAATTCTGGATTGTATCCCAAATTAATAAGTTACTTTTTTCCTAGGGTATTTTACTGCAGCAACATAAATGTAACTAGGACGGAAACTGTTACCAGAAGTGGAGTGTTCTGTAATAGACTTCACCAGGTGGCTTTTATGCCTTGGACTGTTTTAATGGGAAGAATATAGAAGCATTTGTTACTTTAGGCTGGAGAAAGCCAATCAGTTATCTGGGAAAAACTTACTGAGCCATTCTCTTTAAGTAGTTTTTTATTTTATTTTATGGGTGTAACTTCTATCTACATGTATGTCTGCGTATGTACACATATATGTATGCGTGGTGCCTGTGTAGCTCAGAAGATCAAGTAAAGGTGCTGGGTGCCTTGGAAACTGTAGTTGCAGATATTTTATAGCACCATTCTTGTTGGAGTCTCAAAGATAAGACTGCTGAAAGTAATGCAGACAGGAGAGGCCAGATCGCGTTTCAGAGAGGAATGGGGACTTTGTTCTTAACTGGACTAAGGCTATTTGCATAGTATTCTGGCTAAAAAACTGTGTGTGCTGATCATGTTCTGAAGAATAAGCTAATCTTGTGATTGGCAACAAGATTAGCACCATGAAGGTGAAGCCTTTTATGATTCATTGGAACAATAGAAAAGTATTTTCTCAGCATCAGCACATCAGAGCTAGTAAGCTGTGGTCAAAGCAGGGCATGCCGCAGTCTCAGCTGAACTTGGAAATATAAGAATTGTCCATGTGGTACTCATTTTGAAGGCATGAAGGGCTTGAGGAGAACATCTGAGGCGTGGCACCTTGTGACAAGAGTTGGAGTCCATAAAGGGGGGCTCTGACTGGCCGTTGGTAAAGGTGAACCCTCAGTGAAGCTGGAGAAGTGGGACTGCCCAGGCACTGAGCTACAAGATTTGGTTTGCTTATGTGTGACTGTCCATTTCCTATGTGCTGGCTTTTCCCTTTTGGAAGAAGAACATTTAAATATAAAATTTGTTTTTGTCTTTATAGGAACCTATAGTTAAGAGAATTTAGAAGAGTCCTTGGACTTTTGCAGTGCTGGAAATTTTGAAGACTATGAGAATTTGTTTTTTTGTTTTGTTTTTAACTTGGATTGTATTTTACATTATAAAATTAACAAGACATGCTGGAGAAATGGCTCAGTAGTTGGCAGCACCAGCTGCTCTTCCAGAGGACCAGGGTTCAATTCCCAGCACCCACATGGCACCTCACAACTTTCTGTAACTCCAGTTTCAAGGGATCTGACACCCTCACAGACATACATGCAAGCAAAACACCAATAAACATAAAAATAAAATAAATCATTAAATTTTTAAAAAAATTTAACATGATACTTTGAGTTTAGAGAGTGGAAAGTTACAGTGTTTGCATGTCAAGTTAAGGGGCAGATTATGCTCCTTAGTTGTGTTTTTGTCTTGTTTTGTCAAGACAGGGTTTCTTTGTGTAGCTCTGGCTGTCCTAGACTCGCTTTCTAGACCAGGCTGGCCTCAAACTCACAGAGATCTCCGCGTCTCTCTCCTGAGTGCTAGGATTATAGGCATGTACTTAGTTTAAACTGTTAACTTGACACAAACTAGCATCACCTGGGAAGACAGTCTTGGTTGAGAAATTATCTAAGATCATGTTGGCATGTGAGCATGTCTATAGAGAACTATTCTGACTGATGCAGGAAGACCCAGCTCATTGTGTGCAGCACTATTCCCTAGGCAGGGCTCCTGAACAGCGTAAGAGAACAAGCAAGTATCCAAGTGTTTCTTTTCTCTCTGATCTTGACTGTGGATGTGATGCTTAAGTTCTTGTCTTAACTTTCCTGCAATAATGGGTCTTGGGATTGTAAGTATAAAAACCCTTTCTTTCCTAAGTTGCTTTTGGGCAGGTTATTTTGTAACAGCAACAGAAATGTAACTAGGGCATTTCTGCTCTAGGGCTGAGCAAGTGCCTACCACAGAGAGCCTCCCAGGAATGCTGTCTGGTCTGCTTGAACAGGACATCCCATACAGTCCATGAACTGCTGCTCTGGATAGCTTCTGAGGTTCTGGGCTTCATCATAAGTACAATCCCCAGGCATTCAGTATGAGGCTTGGCTTCACTTTGTGTTTCTCCTGGCAAAGCCAGGCCCCTTGGGAATGGGCATGAGCCCTTATCCACTGTCCTCCTGCTGCACGGTAGGCCTGACATTCTGCATGCATCCAGCAAGCACCTGCTGATTGTACAACAGCTGAATATGGAGTTCACTTTGGAATCATGGAGAGGACTCAGCATTAGGCCAACCTTCAGAAAACAGGAACCCAGCAGGCCTGAGGATTAGAAATGACTTCCAGTAGGGACTAGAGTCCTGCTGAGCTCAGAGATGATGTCTTAGGGTTTCTACTGCTGTGATAAAAACTGTGACTAAAAGCAACTTGGGAAGGAAAGGGCTTGTTTAATCTTACACTTCCAGATAACAAACGGTCCATCACTGAGGGAAATCAGGGCAGGAATTCAAGTGGAGCAGGAACCTGGGGGCAGAAACAGGAGTGTGGGCCATGAAAGAGTGCTGCTTACTGTTTACTTCCAGTGTTGCTTGTCTGCTTTCTTATATAACCCAGGAACACCTGCTCATGGGCAGCACCATCCACGATAGGCTGGACCATTCCATACCAACTACTAATCAAGAAAATACCCCATAGACTTGCCTTAAGTTTCTTGGAAGCAAATTCTCAATTAAGATTCCCCTTTCCAGGATATGTTCCGGTATCAAGTTGACAAACCTGCACTAAAATCAACTAGTACAGATGGCTGTAAGCAGCCCCGGCAAGATGGGGAAGTGTCCAGTAAGCTGGAAGATGCTGAATTCAGCTGGAGACAGGAGAGGCAGTGGGCTTGTGAGCCAGCTCTGGGTCAGGAGCCCAGATAACAAATGGGATACATACATCTTAGCTCATAGGAGGCCAGGCAGGGTTGCCATAGATGCTTCAGGAGGCACACCCACATTTCTTCCGAATGCCTCCTCTGCTTGTCTCATAGCCCTGTAGCTTTTCATTCTGTTCTCATCACAGTCTTCACAATGATCACATAACTGTTTTCTGAAGGTTGCACTGCAGTTATGTTTCTCCCTGGCTCAGCATTACTATCAGCAGTTTCTGGGTTACTCAGATGGCTTCTGTGGAAACACTCATTTATGCCATCACAAGCTGCCTGTCCAAGGCCCCTCCACTGGGTTTCCCAAGGTCCCAGTAGCACTGGAGCTTGGTGGTTCTCTGATGCCCCTAGGGTCCTCAAAGTTTCTGGCTCAAATAAGGGAGGGATAGAGATAACACGACCTGAATAGCAGATACACAGTAATTCCAGCTGTCAGATGGAGCAGGAACAATGGAGAAACAGAGATAGAAGCTCAGGGTGGGCGCCCCTGTCACCACTGGGGCTAAAAGCAGCAAATTACTCCCTTCACCAGCATCAATAGCTAGTGACTCACTGCTTATTTACAGTGAGGTGCTCTTCTCTTTAGAAAACGTAAAGTGCAAGCTCAGAAGGAGCCAGTGGGTGCTATGAGGCCATCTTTCTTTGAGAAACAACTATTGTGGTGAGACATGACCCTACCGCAGAGGCCAGGGCCAGGCAACGCTCAGGAGAATCACAAATTCATCCTGCATCCCTTCTTCCTGAGCTAGCTACAGCTTGAAAGGCCAGAAGACGTCTGGAAGCTTAGCCATACAGCTTACCCCTGAAATAGGACCCCAACAAAAAGGAAGCAGATGACAGAGATGCAAGTTAATAGTGCCAGTCGTAGTAGTTCCAGCAACCCTATGAGAGCCTTTAATGGGAAGGGGATGGGCAAAAAGGTACAGGGTTTCTTGTGAGGCTACAAGGTCAAGAGGTGACAGAACTGGGATTTGAGCCTGGGGAGGAGAGGGCCAATATTGGGCCTGCAGAACTGAAGCTATGGCAGATCTGCAGGAGGATCCAAAGCATCAAGTTCTAATCTGTCTGGCAGAATTCTGCTTCCCCCCAGGGAAGAAAGCCCCGAGGGCTGGGAGGAGGGAGAAGGCTGAGGAAGAAATGTGACAGGCAACTCTGAGGAGAACCGCCAGTATCAGGACTGTACCCTTCCCCTAAGTTTGATTACTGGCTTCCGTTTTGCTTTCTAGGCACTTCATATGGTCTGATGTTCTCAAAGCATTGTTAGTACTTTGTGCTTTTCTGTGGTAGTTGATAAGCAGAACTGATAGACATTCCTGGCTTCTTGGGCTCATGCTCAGGATGGGCAGCATTTTATGCAAAACAAGATGAGCAGGTATACAGCTGGTACTCTGCAGCCAGCTGGCTTTGAGGTATAAAGTGGACACAGTACAGGCTATTCATGCCAGAAACCCATGAGGCCAGCAGGAAACAGAAGCTGAAGAAAGCAGAAGAGAGTGGAGGCTCAGCCCCACAGCCTCAGTTAGCAGGGCAGGCAGCACTGTAAGATAACAAATGGGCTTTCTGTGGTAACTTATTACCTAAGTATAAGTAACTAGTACAGTGGTGGAGATGGCTGAGAAAGGGAGAGTTGAATAAAGTTTTGTGCATGTGGGAAAAACATTCCCATGGAGGAAAGGGCAAGGGCAAAACCCCGAGTACTGGGGTGGGATCTGGACAAGGCGGTATCTGGGATCCAGAAGATGTGCGCATCCATAGCGCTGCAGTTATAGAAACTGGGAGGTGTCTAGGAGTGACAAGCATGGACCATGCCTACATCGAGGCTTATGTAGTTTTGTTGGCTTTCCTTGACTTCAGTGGTCAGGAGGTGATGATTACTCTCAGGGTCTATTCCCAAGCCCCAATGTGTTCAAAGCGGTACTGACCAAAGTGAGAAGGAGATCCATGCAGGCCTGGATCTGTGACAGCACATTGGCTGCTCCTCAAGGAAGGAAGGGAGGGCTCATAGCATCTTCTGAGGGGGAACTAGTTCCTATGTTAGCATGACTTAAAGGGAGAAAAAAAATTCATACTCCAGGAGCTGGAGAGATGGCTCAATGGTTAGGAACACTGGCTGCTCTTCCAGAGGACTAGGGTTTGATTCCCAGCCCCCACATGGCAGCTCACAGCCATCTGTAACTCCAGTTCCATCTTCTGGCCTCTGACGGACAGTACATATACATGGTGCATGGATGTGCATGCAGGCAACACACTCATATACATAAACAAAATATTTTATAAAGCACTACTGACAGATTAATCTGGGGAGTGGAAGAGAGAAGAAAAAAGGGAAAGTGGATGAAAATAGAGGACTACATTTCCTGGAAAGAAGAGAAAGAGAAGGACAGCTTTTTACTGAATATGTGCTAAGAAGCAGAACCAGATCCCATTTTGGGGTGGTGTCTGTTTCTAAATACAGAGATGATGCCTATCATTGTGGTGAGGTGTGAGGTAGGGTCTGGTCACACTCTGAACCTCTGTTGTTGCTCTTAAAGCTGTGTTTCTCAGCCTGAGTGTCGTGACTCCTTTGTGGGGTAGTATGAATGACCCTAAGCAATCAGAAAACACGGATATTTACACTATGATTCATAACAGTAGCAGAATTACAGTTATGAAGTAGCAACAAAAATAATTTTATGGCTGGGGTCACAACATGAGAAACTATATTAAGGAGCTGCAGGATTAGGAAGGCTGAGAACCACCATCTTAAAGGGTCTACGGCACTATGAGTCAGCAGCATGAAATGGTTTGACTGATGTCTTGTGATACAAATACCACTGCAGTGTTTGTATAAATAACACACAGGGTCCCACAGAGTGATTTTGTTGAGACATTGCACATTTAAATACAGGCATTCAGCCATCAGCTGATAGGTGACACCAAGAACCCAGTCCTTCCCAATGGCTCACCTGCTCCATAGACCACGGAGTACACCACTTTCTTGGTCTGTTCTCTGTCCATGTGTGTCACATGCTCCATGGGAATGTCCTTCCTGCATGGAGAAATAGTATGTTATCAGCACTGTTGGCACTGTTTGCAGAGGGACAGAATCCCTATTACAAGCCTCCTGTCACCTTCCCTGGAGGTCCTTCACCATTTCAAGCCAGGCTTGTCCTGTAAGCAACAGAGACGTGTAATGTGTGCAGTACCCAGCTCTCCTGTGGCTCCCAAAGAGACACCAACAGTAAGGCCTTGGCCCTCAAATTCTGGGGTAGCCCTAAATCAAAACTAAATGCTGATTTCACAAAAACTATGTCCATCCAGCTTTAGGGGAACCTTCGTGACAGGTCCTGAGCCACAACTCTGGCCACTACAGGGGTGAGCTGGTTTTAGTCCTTTGTAGTCCCTTGGAGGACTGGATAAGCAGCTGTTGTTTGATCTCCCACAGAGAGCGGGGTGAGTTCTATCCTGCAGCTACAGCATTCGAGCAGTGAGGATCAGCTTTAGTCTGACTGCATGTGAACCACTGTGTCTCAGAGATGAAAGCTGAAATAGCTGAGAAGCGCAGAGCCCAGGAGCTGCTTCCCCCTGCCCAGGCACTGCCCAGCGATTGGTGCCTGTGCCTAAGAAGAGACTCCCCTGACTGCTGCTTTTGAAAACATCCTTAACATCTACATGCAACTTTCAAACATCAAAGGACAGAAGCCTCTCTTAGTCTTTGTGATTGTGGTTCTGTGTTGGGATCAAGGTATTCCCAACTCTTAGCTGTTACTTCCTGTTTATACTGCACATTACAGTGAGGGCTCAGTCTTTCTTAGAGGTTTTTTTGTTTTGTTTTCCCCACTAGTATGTCACCTGCTCTGGAATACCTGAGGGCTTTCTAGATTTGGAATGCTTGCTTTGGAATGTACCTGAGGCATCTCTCTCCCAGACACCCCAGTCTTGTACTCTTGTTTCTATCAACTGTTATTTTTGCCCCAGTCAGCTTCAGGTTATTTGTTTGTTTTTTGACGTGGTTGAGGATGCCCAGTGATTCTCTACAGTGGGTTCTGTATCAGTCAAAAAAGAAAAGTGCCCTTGTCAGTCCATCCTTCAGGTAGCGCCAATAAATCAGAATGGAAACCACTATACTTCTTTGCAAACATGTCACCAGGTTCTACGCAGGAACAAAATATGCAGTTTCCACAGTTCGGATTTCTAGGGACAAAGAATGGGCAGAAGAGACCACAAAGCTCTCCTTCCATGCTCAAGATGCCCTTTTCAGCATTTGTCTGGATAGAGTAAACTGTTGCCTATTCTTCAGGGTTCTGGCAAAATTGGTTTTGGTAAATATTGCTTGATTTTTCAGTGTTTCTGTGGGGGATGGGTCCATGGTGCTGCCTCTTCTAGCACATCCACCGACATGTCAGATGTCATTAAATTTGACCACCTGAGCTCTAGCTAAGCAATGATGCATCAGCTCCTCCCTTTACTGTTGTTTTATATACTGGTTTATTCCATCCTTAAACTTGGTTTTATAAGGCACTGTGGGGACAAAGAGATAAACTCCCACGCTCATTCATTGGTAGGATTAACATTGTGAAAATGGCTGTCTTATAATCTATAGATTCAATGCAATTCAATCAAAATTCCAACTTAATTTTTTTCACAGAAATTGAAAAAAAAATCTTAAATTTCATGTGGAAACACAAAAGACTCAAGATATCTAAAACAGTCCTGAATTAAAAACAAAACAAAGCTGATAGAGGTATCTCCATCCTTGATTTCAAGTTATAGTACAGAGTTAGAGAAATAAAAACCACCACCACCAACCCCTGTTGGGATGACCTTTTCGTGCACTGTGTAAAGTTGACTTCTGTACCAGCAGAGAGTTGAGTACAGGTCCAACTTTGGCACTGCTATTTTTTGGCTGAATCGTATTTTGTCAATACTTCCTCTAACACTTTCTAATTGGTTTAATAAAGAACTGAACGGCCGATAGCAAAGGCAGGAGAGGAAAGCAGGACTTCTGGCAGAGACAGGAACTCTGGAAAGAATCATGCATGGGGAAGATTCGCCAGCTGGACATGGAGGAAAAAAACAGGTAACAGGACTGCAAGACTGAGGAAAAGTAACAGAACATGTGGCAGAACGAAGATTTAATATAAAGGGGTTAAGTTAAGAACTAGTTGGGAGACAAGCCTAAGCTACGATCAAGCATTAATAATTAATAAAAGGTCCCCATGTCATTATTGGGAGCTGGTGGTTCCAGTAATAAGTCTGGTTATATTTGGCAGCCAACACTTATAAGCCCCCCCCCCCAAATCTAGCATGGTTCTGGCATAAAAAGACACATTGACCAATGGAGTAAAATTGAACACATAAACCCCTATTTCAACAGCCACCTGATTTTTCATAAAGAGGCCCATGATAAACACATCTTCAACCAATGGTGCTGCTCAAACTGAATAGCTACATGTAGAAGAATGAAACTAGATCTTTATCTTTATCTCTTAACTTGCACTCAACTCCAAATGAATCAAGGATCTCAACAAAAAACCTGATGCCTGATAGAGGATAAAGTAAGGAATACCCTTAAACTTACAGGCCCAGAAAATGGCTTTTGGAACAGGACCTTGATGTCATTTTCTATGAATGGAAATAGAAACAGAAATTACATAGTTTCCAATGGAAATAATTTATATCTGCTAATGGGTTACATAGAAACAGTCATGAAAATTCATAGCCCTAAATCCCTCTATTAATAAACAAGAAAGAATGAAAGTTTTAAAATATTTTCAGTTCAAAATTCAATAAAACAACAACAAAGCTAATCAAAATAATGTGAAAATAATAAAAATGAAATTCATTAATTAGCAAGTAGGATCTTTGTTCTTTACAACATTTTTTTTTCTTTTTTTTGGTTTTTGGTTTTTCAAGACAGGGTTTCTCTGTGTAGCCTTGGTTGTCCTGGACTTGCTTTATAGATCAGGCTGGCCTCAAATTTACTGAGATACACCTGCCTCTGCCTCCCCAAGGGCTGGGGTTATAGGCATGTGCCTCTGTGCCTGGCTTGGATCTTTGTTGTATAACATATAAAATAGACAATTAAATTTGCTAATTTCATCAAAAAAAGGAACAAAGAAATATATAAAAATAAAAACTACAAAGGAAAGTAACTTTCGGTATGGAAAAAGTAAAAAACAAAACAAAACAAAAAAACCCCAAAACAACCAACCTTGAAAATTACCTTGTGCAACTTTATACAGGTCCATTTGAAAACCTAGGTTAGATGGACACTATCTTGAGAAAATTCAAGTATAAAAATTGGCTGTAGAGTTGGGGAAAGCAACTGACAGAGGCCTTGCCTAGCATTTCCAAGGCTTTGAGTTCCATCCTCGGCACTGAAAAAAAAAAATTAAAATTGACCTCACAATAAATGTAGTGTCGTATTCCAATAATCTTGAAATTTGGGAGGTGGAAGCAAGAAGCCTGTGAATTCTAGAACAGCCTAGGGAATATAGCAAGACTATTAGAAAAAGAAAAACTGACCTCATTACAGATGAAAGTTAATGAGGTTGGCTCACTAGGAGAGCAGTTGCCTAACATGCATGAGGGCCTGGATTCAGCTTGCAGCTCTTTTAGAAACATGTTAAACAGAGCAGCATCTATTGGAGAAATAGAGAAAAGATTTAAGGAAGTTCCCTCATTAAAAACACCACGGCTGGCAGGGAGGATCTTAGCACATGCCTGCCTTTAACCCCAGTACTAAGGAGGTAGGGACAGGCAGATCTCAAAGTTCAAAGCCAGCCTGATCTACAGAGCAAGTTCCAGGACAGCCAGGGCTACAGAAAAACCCTGTCTTGAAACAAACAAACAAACAAAAAGATACTGAGACAAAGCAAGCTGTATGCATTACTTACTTTTCTTATTGTGGTGATAAAATACCTATCAAAAACAACTTAAGGCTGGGTTTTTTAATTTTGGTTCATCTTGGCTGGAAGGCACGGCAGCAAGAACTTGAGGCAGCTGAACGTACTGAGTAACAGTACGTTTGTATTCAGGAAGCAGAGAGAAATAAATGCTGGTGTCAGTTTACTTTCTCTGTCTTTTTCAGTCCAGGACTCCAGTCTACAGAATGGTATTAACCACTTTTATAGCAGGTCTTCCCACATCAATCTGGAAAGTCCTTCACAGACATGCCTAGAGGTTTGTCTCCTGGATGATCTAAATCCTGTCAAGCTGACAATCATATTAACTAGCATCCTGGGCATGGTGGTGGTGGTGTCACTCATAATCTAAGTTGCTTGGTAGTGGAGGGCTGCAGGATCATCACTTAAGCTCATCCTGGGCAGCTCAATGAGAACCTGCCTGCTCTCAGCATAAAAAGGCAGCATCAAAAAGCCAATAGATTTGATGGTATAAAATATTTTGAGAATATAAATTCATGTTACCCAGCTTCTTAGAATGCTCAGGTAGATGGATGGAAAGTTCAAGGCCTGCCAAGGCTTATGCAGGAAGTTTGAAGTCAACCTAGGACAGCTTCGTGAGACCATGGCAAAACCCATTCCTTTTAAAGGGCTGGGGATACAGTTCAGTGACAGAGCACTTGCTTAGTACGTGTAAGGCTCTGGGTTCAATCCCTAGAATCTCCCCCACTCCTCAAAAGAGGTGAAGATAAATAAAGGCCAGTAAAAACTGAAGAAATAATTGGCATCATGTCTGCCAAAGGGTTAATAAGTCACAGAAGAGACCACAAAAACAAGAATGACAAAAATGAGCAAGTTATATTTAAGCAATTAACAGAAGAAAAAAAATGATCAATGATAAGTAAAAAAATCAGGCAAATGTAAAGACATGCACTAAGAGCTGTCTTACCACCACGCTGACAAACACTAAGCAAATTTGAAACACGGCCTGATATTGATGGTTGGGGCTTCTGACACAGATTGAGATACAGTTCTGATACAAACACAAATTAGGACCTTTCTGAAAGAAATCTGGACAGTATATATGGACTCTTTACCCCAAAATTCCTCTTTTGTGGATTTTACTTTCTAGACACAGACTCAA